ATGCAGAAACCAGCTCTCAATTCTGAAAAATTCAGGTGCCTGTGGACTACTCACATCCATCTGGGTGGAAATCCGGTCCCAAATTTCACGAAATGCTGCCGGCTGGGCATCAATCGCTAAAGGGTCCAGAGGAGCGGGTTCCAGTGGGTCAGCTTGCCTAGCCGCATCAACTGCCTGCAGAAATTCATCAGTGAGACTACCGCAAGGGATCTCACTCCCAAGGGACAAGACAGCATCGTTGGAATGTCCAGACGTCCAAACACTCTTCTGTAACAAGCCAACATTGTCCCCTTGTGTTTCTTCATCCGAAGATCCCGTGCACGGCTTGATTTGTACTTTAAGGCCCAATCCAGACCAGGTACGAAATGTTTGCTCTTGACTCATAAGTGCAGGGTTTTCCCAAATCATAGGATTACGCCTGAATGAAAAGAAAATTGGTACCGCCGCAGAAACATCCCTCTGAGTGCAAAGTTTGGGAAGCACTGCCGCAACTCTGATGATCACACTGGGTTCGGTTCGTTCTGTGAATTCCATAGAGAGCAGGACGGAAGATTGTCCAGCATATCTCTGTGTGATAATGACATGGCCAAGATGCTCTTCAATGTGAGCTCTCGGAGAGTTAGGCTGCACAAGGTCGAGAAGGACTCGTTCCTCGGGCTCAATCCAAAATTGCCATGGCTGAAGGATGTCTGCTTCCCATTCACTGGGGTCACTACCTAAAATAACTATTTTAGGTTCACGACATATAGGGTGCTTGTCATGATCTAGAAACCAAGTGTATATAGTGAAACTGAATTCCTCGTCTCGATCAGCATCACAATTTTGTACATGGCGTCCGACAATGCGTTGCAGATCAATGTTCCAGTCAGCCGGCAAGTCTTCATCTGAGCTCAGTGTCTCAATAGGTTGCATTCTTGATGAGGTCAAGTTAGTTTGCATGGCTTGGAAAGCATCTTGGTCATTTTCGGCTTGTAAATCTGAGCCATTTCTGGGTGCAGCAAGTGCTCGTACTTCGTCTTCACCCAAAAGGCTAGGAGAATATCCGTCCTCAACTTCTCTCTCGGCAATATGGCCCACTATTTCAGCATCAGAAAGACCATCTTGGGTCCAGCGCACAATCTGGGTGGTGGGACATGCGTATCTTTCAGAGGGTGGAATGGCAACTCGAATCAAATCACCATGAGTCAGCTGACGTTGTAGCAGGTCCGTGTCCTGCCATCTTTCATTATTGTGCCAAACAAAGCATTTGTCATTTTCCCTGGCACAATATCTGTCAACATCAGCCATGACCAAAATGGTAGCTCGATCGCAGTGCAGCGGAGCTGCCAGCACAAAACGCTGTGTTGTGGGGCCAGCGCGAAAACCTACTTCTATAGCATGTGCATGAATTTCCAAATCAAAGAGCACCAGTCTAGCAAGTTGCCCGACTGCAATATCAGGAAAAAGATGTACAATGACAGGAATAGAGTCAGGTGGAAGGCCCTGAACTTCAGCATTGATTTCGTAGACATCAACCACATCCACAACAGTAGTGGCATAATGATGCGCAACTTCACTGATCATGTTTTCATAGCTACTCCAGTCAAGAAAGACACGCAAAGGTGGGTCCCCAACATGAAACATGATGGCGTCTTGTCGAGTGTCATCAAGACTAGGCGGGCCAATGCGAGAATCAGAAGAAGATCTGGACGATGCTAATTCAGATTCCCAATTCTCTCTATCATCATCTTCATTATGGTCAGGAAAGACATTGGGAACGGTGCGACCCTCTCCAAACGTCTCGACCAAATCAACATCATGATCTGAATGTACAGCTTGCTTGAAATGCAAGTTTTGCACAAATGAGATAGTATCAAATTGACCATCATCAACAGGTAAAAATTTGCAATCTCGGCTCAACAAACTCGCACAGGAGGATGGCTCCGGAGGTTGCATCCCTGCAGAAAATCGTGGAAAAGTGTCAAAACCTGTCAAATGCGGATTCTGCTTTCGGATTCGTTTTCTGCTCCATGGTTTAGTGGGCCAGTTATGCAAAGCAATCTGAGCCACTTGGATCTTCCCCATCGCAATTTCCTCATCATCGCCCAAGAAAATATCAATCTGATCATCAAACCTAACATGTTTCGTATGAACATCAGAGGAATGTGGTCTTTGAGATAGAATCGAGGTCGAGGGATTGCTAGCACAATAGGGTGACTTGATAGCAGGTAATTGAGGAAGTTGGGCAAGATCGTCAAAGCCCACTTCCCACTGCAAACTCAAAGCGTTCAAACATGCTTGAAAAGGACTCACATAGAAAGGTTCGTACTGGATGGAATGCGTCCATGGTAACATCGGATCAAAAAAGGGGTCCCAACGACCGCATGCTGCACCAGACAATAACGCTATTGGCTGATAGGCCTCAACGATCGAAGCATCATTGGACTCATAGGAGCTGGCCACATGCACAGAGTTCCTTTGAACTTCTGAAGCACGGCCTGAGATCACGGATTCCTGGATGCACCACCAGCAAAGGGCTCTAAAGCACGAGGCCTTTTGGATCGTTTGTCCTCGTCTGCAGTGTCGTCTTCCTGGATTTCTGTGGCCTTCTGGTCCAACTCCAATCCCAGGGAGCCCGCACAGCTTTGGAGCACTCCTTGGAGCTGCTTCCTCAGGACCTCCTCCTCTTTGTCGGCAGGATCTTCCGGAATCTCTTCTGCTTCCACTGGAACAGCAGACTGAGGCAAGGTAGAACCTCCAGCTGTAGCGTTGCTCAGCTGCTGAATGATCCTGTTCGTTGCAGTGATCTCGGTCCTTGCCTTTCCTGCATGTTCCGTGAGTGTCGCCTGATGTCTTCGGAAGTCGTCCAATTGTTTCTCCCACATCTTGATTCCATTGGATAAATGGGCCATCCAAAGGGAGCGGTGGGCACGTCTTTGGTCTGTGACTTCCTGCAGGTGTTTCTTCACCTTGCCCAAGTACTTCGTAGCTTGGTGCAAGTTCTTGATCCCCATTCTGCCCGTCTCCTGTTCGGTTTTCTCGATAAAAAGCTTGGTATCTTCTGGCATTTTGGCTGGGTCGGGATATGCCTTGCGCAAGTGCTCTACCATCTCTTGCTTTTCGCTGGATGAGCTTGCTGGCATCAAGGAGGAAAATGGGCTCGAGGGCAAAGCTGTGGTGGGCATGAATTGGGCTGTGTCCATCGGTTTCCAGGGCGCAAAATTGTCTCCCTGTTGAAAAGGGGAAGTCAATTCTGATCCTCCATGACTCGGAGGCAATCCCGGCGACACGCCCTTCTTCCCTTTCCCTTTCCCTCCTTTCCCTTTCTTGCCCTTCGGAATAGGCTTCTGGTGACTGTGCTGGGCTGTGGCACCTCCATCTTGGCGATATCTCGTAGATGACCGGCTCGATGAACGGCTTGATGCCCAATTTGATTCTTCGTCCCAGTTGTCCCAATCCTGCCAGCCATATGTCTCCTTCTGTTTGGGTCGAGTTGGATGTCGAGTGCCCTTCTTCCAAGAGCCCCAACAAATCACACACTCGACTGCGTACTTCTTGTTGATCCTCCCACAAGGGCATTTCCAAGGGAAGTATGTCTCGTTCGGATCTTCCTCGTCCATGTTCATTGCTTGACTGATTTTTGAAATGAATAAAGCGTCTCGGCTGTGATGTGTACTCAAAATATGCCTGATCTTTCTCAAGGCAGCTTTGGTGAGCGAAACCCAGCCGTGTTTGTGCAAAAACCAATTGCGCCTTGCCTTGGCCCTCTCTCTCCGTGCCTTCCGGCGGACAGTAGTTTTGAGTTGCGTAATCCTTAATAAATGTAAAAAGGACCGTGAATCCCAAAAAGATGTGGAGGAAGCTGCACATACAAGAGATGTGAACCAAATCAGCACAAACCCCCGATGATACGCTCACCGGCAGAAGCGAGAAGAAGCTGATGCACCAAGAGGAAATGCCAGGGCAAACCAATACGGCAAATACCAGGTTAGTACAGCAGCTAAATCAGTAAATGTAGATTTGAAGCAAAATACCCAAGGTCGGAAGACAGCAGGGGCAACACAAAAATTCAATCGGCCAAATCAAAATGTAAATGTCCACACAAATTGTAAATAGAGCCAAAGAAAAATGTGACCAAAGCGAATTGTAGGCTTAGTGAAAAGCAGCTACAAAAGCGCAATATCCAAGGTTCCACGCAGCAGGAACCCGCGGGCACTCCCGCTAAAGCTATGGCAAACCGCCCACCCTGTTCACACGTCGGGGGGGGGCTTTGAGCCACAGCCTTTATAATACAATATAATATAATAAATTATAACTAATACAATAAAATATCATATTATATTAAGATACTATATTATATTATATTATATTGTATTATATTATATTATATTAAGATATTATATTATATATTATATATATATTATATTTAATTATGTATATATATTGTAATTATATATATATATTATAATATAATATAATTTAATTTAATATAATATAATATAATATAATATTATATAATATTATATAATATAATATAATATTATATAATATAATATATAATATAATATATAATATAATATAATATATAATATAATATAATATAATATTATATAATATAATATAATATTATATAATATTATATTATTTTATATTTTATATGTGTGATATAATAATAATGATTTATATATATATATATATATACACATAATAATATATATATATATAAATATAATACTCATTCCAGACCAACTGCACGAGGCACAATCAAAACACTGTGAATAGTGGGTTATTCATTCGGAAAGGCTCAGGTAGGGATCACTACCGAAAATACAAAAACCTCAAACCCCAAGCCCTCGAAACCCTTGGAAACCAAAAAGTGATCTCGGGCGAAATGAGGTGTTTGGGCCAATAACTAGTTACAAGCCGCCACTATGTAGTGCGTTGGATGGGTGAACAATACTACGTGGTAATCTGTATATAATTATAGGTAAATACACAGAGTATTCGCAAATTTGCAAAGGCTCAAACCTGCAACTCGGCGGGTTCTGAACGCGGGCCATGACGGTCATGGGTCTGCCCGACTTCTTGAGATCTGCGGGCGCGTTTTTTAATCGGATTTTCACCAACCTATGGTAGGTAAATCACGGCAGGGGGAAAATTGGTGCTTTTACCTCATTATATTTCCTCCTTGTATTTTGGGTGTTGGGAGCAACCCTGATAAATGGTGAATTCTGCAATGATTATGAGATGATTCTGGGATACTTATGTGTATGATATATATATATATGTATACATCTTTGGCTGAATAATGATCAGTAAACGGGAATGATCCCAATATAGGCCAACTTTTTGGGCTAGTGAACTATTACCATTTACCCATACATAATATATATATATTTATACACATATTTATCATTTTACCATTTAATTTACCCATTTATGTGTTGACTCTTTTTATTTCATTGTATCATTTTTCATTATACTGTATATGCCCATATAAATTAGTGAACTGTTATCATTCACCCATATACATACAGACATACACAACATAGCATAGCATCGCATAGCATTACATTACACTACACTACATTACACCACATTACATGACATTACATTACCATACGTACGTACATACATCGATATATAATCATTACCATGTAGGGGGGTTCCACTGATGTCCCCAGGGTTGCGACCATCGCCAGGCCGGCAAGATGCCTTCGCAGCCTTTTTGAAGCTGCGCCCGGCGGTCCGACCGCCTAGACAGCGTGACGTTTCGCCATGGAAACATGACATCTTTGCAGTTTAAGAATTGTGACTAATGATTAATAATGGTTAATAATTGTCAATAACCCATCCCAAAATGAATCATGATGGGTTTGATAATGATGAATAGTAGGTGTATATAAGCAACAATAATAGATGAAGAATGGATAACTGGAATAATGGTGATTTTGGGCGGTTTACCTCATTAGACGATCTACCTATTTAAGATGGATATGTTTCCATTTTCCATGGCTGCTTTTGGAGTACTATACAAACCAAACACCATCTAAAACCATTTTTGTTGCAGGATATCCATGATTGGCCATACTTGCGGCGATACCTCCACAAAAAATCCGGTGCCACAGTAAAAATTCGATCATTCCAGTGTGAGGGATGTGAGACAGAGATTCGAAGAGCCATGTCGGCAGATAACCCTGAACATGTCGATGAAGCATCCACCTGATACTATATAGTTGTAGTAGAAACATGTTGCCCTAGATACTTGATTCATTCATTTTTTTCTTGAGGGTCAATGCCGTCAACCCAACATTCGACGGTATCTCATCAACCCTATTATTTGGCAATTTGAGGGTATATTGGAATAGGAAACAGAACGATTATCCTTGACGATCTTCCAGTGTTTGAACCTTCACTACATCCCATGAAGCCCCAAAAAGGCTTGATCATGAGGTAAACCACTGTGTGTTCACGTAAACCATGGAAAACCATGGTGTTTACCATGGTAAACCCACCCAAAATTCATCCTCAATTGGGGTTTCTCTCTCACATTACTTGGGTTGACGAAATTGAAACTGAATGGCTTGGAGCAGTGCGAGGCCAAGCCAAGCAGCCGACAACAGGTGGAACAGAGGCTAGAGCGCGTGGAGGCGGGAAATGGTGGCAGGAGGTTGAAAATCCCTGGCGAATGGTGGATTGAATAGAATCCTGATGCTAATTAATTCAGTGATGGGTGATTTAATACTAATTATATATATATAATATAATATATATATAATATAATATAATATAATATAATATAATATAATATAATATAATATATAATATATATAATATAATATATATATATAATATAATATATATATAATATATATATATATATATTATATATTATATATATATATATTATATATTATATATATATTATATATATATACATATATATGGCCCCGTGTCTCGTGTTCACGGCCCCCCCCACACGACCCCCCCACCCCCCACCACATCCACAGGGGGGGAGGGATACATAGACATATGCATCTACGCATACATATACATACTGTATACATTTGCACTCACATACTACATACTTATACACACACACATGTGTGTACAGTGTGTATAGATAGATATATATACATATATATATATATATTATATACACACTACTTACATATATATATATAAATAAATAAATAACTTACATATACATATAGGGACCATCTCGGGGGGGAGGGGGGGACCACCAGACGCTGGGCCATATGTAGATATATTTGTCTTTGTTGTTGGGGGGAAAAGAGAAGCGTTTTTCAGATTCATGATGGTTCTGTGAGTGTTCAACGAAGTGGATGGAGATGTTTAACTGTATTCCATCAGTATCGCACCTGTCTGATGCTAGTCTCATTCTCATGCCACCTTTTGGATGATGAGCATTCAAGATCATTCAAGGGGATGGCCTCTGAAATGGCTATGCTTCAAAACGTCCACGGTTTCCCAACATTTGCTTTGATGAGTTTAACGCGATTTCTCAATGACCGAATTGGCGCATTACCCAAAACTACACCATCAAATTGGTTGCCATACCCAAATAAAGCCTTTTTCCATCCGAAAATGGGATGATGGGACCTCCATAGAGAAGCATACAGAGCTGATTGTCTCCATGGAATTTCCAATAGGACAAGTCATTTCCACATTTTTTTTGAGGGGTTCCATCTAAGTTTTCAACATTTTTCAATGTGTTTTTTTTTTTTTGCGGAGTGGTGACTCACCTTGAACGAACTCAGGGCGATCTTCATGATGGGTTGGCAGAGGCAGCGTTTTTGGCAGAGTGTTTTTGGCTGGTTTAGGGAACCCCAAGAAAAAACATATGGCTATGGGTCAAAACCCGGGGAACCTTGTGGTGAACCACAAATTTGCAGGGATTTATGGATGTCCATCTGGCAAATATGGTATTTAGATTCTGATCCATCCCAAGTGTTTTGTATGACAAACATACCAAGAAACACTTCCATTTAGGCTGACATGGACTATTTAGGCTACACATTGCAGTGCAAAAACAAACCTTCTGGTGTGAAAGTTTCCAGAAAAGATGTGCCTTGCAGTTGGTTGGAGTGAGATGTACAACAGTAGCGCTTCTGGAGGAACTTATACAGATAAATCAGAGGTGACGGAGCTGAAAACCATCAAAGCCTCAAAGAGCTTGCTGGAACCCTGCCCATCCCCAGGTGTCAGTGCCAGAGGCGAGGGCTCATGTTTTGGACGGCTCCATGCTTGGAGGATCACTTTTCTGGGATGCTTCCCTTGACTTGAAGCCAAGCCTAGGGTTTGGAGGTGAGAGGTCAGCCATGTTGATAGGTACCAAAGTGACCAGTAAAGGTGCAAATCTTCTCATGACTCTGATGCAATCCCTTAGGCCTCCGGAGTTTTTATGCATGAAGCGGATTCATCTACCATTCATTGACATGAAGTTGGCTACTGTACAAGGTTGCAACCAGAATCTTTTCCTAGATTCTGTTGGCTTGTCTTAACCCATGTTAGCCAATTTCCCTACATGAGTCTGAAAATGGGAGATTGTACCCCCAAGTGAAAAGGCCATTCATAGGGATAACGACGATGAAGCATCGAATGTGAGGGCTTTCCCCAGAAATTTTCAGACACATTATATATATCAAAACACTTGGTGGATTGATCTCCCACATCTCCCACCATCCAGGTCCTCCAGTCCTCCTCTTGTCCCCTCTTGTCTCCTCTGGTCCCCTCCGGTCCTGCGCAGGTGGACCGTTTTGAGGCCAAAGCAGCCAAGGAAGAGAGCCTGGAGGAGAATCCGTCCGGACCCTACCGACCCTGCAGGGTTGACCGTCTGTCAGTGGTAGTGCCTGGCTGAGGTTCACCTCCTTTCTCCACCTTCGCCCGCCCAACAAGGTTCTGGATTTGCGAGGTGTTTTCAATTTGCAAAAATAGGCTTTGCACACAATTAGATGCCCGAAAATGGGATGTTTCCTCCCCCAAACTGATGCAACTCGATTTTTCCGGAACCGGATTTTTTTCACCGACGCCCAAAAAGACTATTTAGAAAACACCAAAAAAGTGAAGTGGAATCAATCTGCATTCTGCAATTTCTGCACGTCCCAAGATTTCCCGATCATTGCGATTTCCAATGCTGTCAAGTGCTGCCTATTTGTTGTGGAAAACCCATCGCCAGCAGAGCCAGGAAGTTCCACGCGAAGTGGCCATAGAACAAGGTGCCATCGATGATTTTGAGCATTCCACAAAATCCATAAATGTTTGCATATTTTTCAAAACTAAGGAGCTTATATGAAACTATCATTTTTATGGGCTTAGACGCATGAATTATCAAATTTTTTCATCCAGAGTTGTCCTATTGAGTTTTATCCGAGTTCAAACTTGGAGATCCCCGAAGATCCATCATTTCATGGTCTCTCCAATGCTTCTCGGTTGGGTTGGGTCTAGTATCTCCGAGTCCTGGTTTCCCAAATCTTTGGAAACCATCCTTTCACCATTTCTAAGGGGGACTCTATATAGGAATCAGTGATTTTTCTGCCTATATATATATATATATAATCAATATATATATATATATAATCAATATATATATATATATATATAAATATGGTTCCTGTTTTTGATCTTCCTTTGGACCAAATCTGGGTCAGAGAATGGAGTATCAGACGAAAAAAATCCCCTGGACTCCAATGCAGTTTCCCATCATGATTTCCCCATTGAAATTTTCCCATTAGAACATCATATTTTGGATTTTTTGCATGGCCATAGATTGGGGATTTTGATCCTCCATTTCTGGCAAGATCTGCGGCAACAAGTGCTGAAGACCAAAAAAGAATTGCTAGAGGCGGGATGTGCTGAAATTCTTTGGAAAGCCTGGATGGTTGGCTGGTTGCCCCATTTTTTATGCATGGTCTTTATTGTTGCATCCACCATCCGGAGCCCCTTCCATAGAAACCAGGAATGCACATGTTAGTTGGGCAGCACATGTGGCACATGATTCATACTATCCATGCATAGGTGCTAAATTCAGAACGATTGGGTGGATAGATTTGGGTAGACATGTTTATGTGGATAATGCTATATCTATCTATCTATCTGTCTGTCTGTCTGTCTATCTTATCTATTCTTATCTATTCTTATCTATTCTTATCTATTCTTATCTATTCTATTCTTATGTTATCTTATACATGTATAATGTGAAATACATTTGATGCATGAAGGATCCAGCGACATGCGTGATGAGTCGAGATTCCTGACAAAGAGACAAGACACATATGAAAACCCATTGATTCGGCCACTTGGTCGCTACTGCAAGCTTCCGCAAATCATTCATCTTCCAATCAGATACGGTGATGAAGGCTCTACTGACTGAGATGCGTGAAATGAGAATTGATGGCTTGATGGTTCTTACTTCATGGGTTTCCATGAAGAAATCTTCCAGGCATGATTCTTGATCCCTTACCAAACGGATCAATTTCAGTTGGATCGTCCCAACAGAACGAAGAAAAAAACGCATCGTGCCTGGATGACAAGGAAGACATCCTAGTCATTCGCAAATCCACTTACTGGTCCATTTCCTGAACCATCATAGGGTATATGAGGCTTTCCATAAATGGGGGTACTCCCTTTATAATGGGAAATCCTATTAAAATGGATGATTTGGGGGTACCCCTATTTCAGGAAACCTCCATATCCTTTTCTTAACCCCGTCCAAGTACCCCGGAACCCAGGTGGCCTTGTGTTTGGAGCTGAAAGTAAGGGAACTCAAGGGTCCAATGGTCGAAGTGCCCCGAGAAGTTCAAGACTGATCCAAGTGGCACCGGTCAGGGTTTTGTTGGAAGGTACCCCCGATTTTAATCGGGATTTACATTCCACAAGCTGCTGGGAAACAACTCGCTCACATATAGAATGTTTGGGAACCGCTTGTATGCCAAGACTAAAGTGGTCAGCCAGAAGTTTACATGGAACCGACAGATTTCAACTGGAAAGTCACATTACAAACTATTTTTTTGGAGGCGGTTTGGGTTGGTGATTTGCATTGCTGGAAAGTCCCTCAAAAGTAATCATCCGTTTCCTTACGTTGGCTATCCTGAAAGTTTCAAAGCAAGAAGAGGCCCCAAGTTCCCACCACAGATGTCCTTTTCCTTCTGGCGTGTAAAGAAAGAGGGCAAACCCCATCCAAGAACCATTTTGGACAAATGAAGGTGCGCATGGTGTGGCAAACTGGCCTCGAAAGATTTTCCCGTAGGACACCCCTGGCGTTTTGTGGTTTTCTAGGAAAAAGAAGGGGCCATTTGGAAAGGCTGAGGTAATTGGATTGCATGCTGTAATTATTTCTACTTGGGGTTGCAGTTCCAATGATAGGGGTTACAGTACATCCCAACTTATGGGGGTGAAAAAAAACATGGCTATCATATTTTTCACCCCAACTGTATCCGCAAGTAGTTCCTTCATATTTTGCCCCAGCCCAACACCAAGGCCTGCGAGCCCGAAACCCCAGAGGAGACGGCTCTGCGGCTAAGGAGGCTTCAGAAGGCGCATAGGTGCAGCTCGCGTGGAGGGTGGAAGCCTGGAGTACAGGACAAACATGTCGAAGATACAGGGATACCAAAACATGATGAAAATGATGACCACACTTTTGAGTGTGATGTATGGGCTTGGAAGGTGGTTTTTTTCGCGGTGGTGTCCCACTGACTCCCTGGACTCCCCAAACTTGTTTCCTGTGCCTTCACAATCACATTCCACTACCAGCTCCCCGCAGTTGTGCGCAGTTGTAAACAAGCCCTATCAAAAATTCTGCTGAAAAACCACGTTGAACCATCATTTTTGGGGTCCCTCACGCGTTCATTCTTATTGGTTACTGGCCAATCCAATCCATCGTTTTTTTTTTTTCTGTTCGCTGGGCCTGCCAGATATTTGTTGCATCCTGAACGCACGATGGAAGCATTGAGCGGTAGCGAGGTGCATCGGGTTTTATGACTGGGTCACTGGGGTTAGAACTGGTCTCAAACTCGGTTGGAAACCTTCACTAAAAGGCTGGGCCTTGGCCTTTTGACATGAAGTTCTCGTTCATGATGATGTATTTCAGTGTCACTTCGCAAATGCACCGTATTGGTAAGATATCGCATTCTGGCCAAACGGCCAAACGTGATACATGCCCTCTCCATATTTTTTCCAGGATGAAGATAGCGCCATGCAGAACAAGATCGTTTGTCAGAGCCCGACACGTGCCAAAGTGGTAGGGAGGTCCGCCGGGAATCTTGGGTCGCTTCACAAGCACCCAAAAAGTCTGGACCATATGTATATACTGGATATATGCAAATATGTATATATCAATAGTACACATATATATAATATTATATATAAATAGGAAAATATTATATATAATATAATATAAAATAAAATAATATAACATAACATAACATAATATAATGTAATATAATATAATATAATATAATGTAATATAATATAATATAATTTAATGTAATATAATATAGTATTTACCATAATATAATATAATATCATATAACACAATATATTGTAATATAACATAACATAACATCATACATATAACATATAAAATTTATAATATATAATATTATATAATATATATAATGTATATATATATGATATAATACACACACATATATATATTGTATAATATATATAATATATGATGTATACAATATATATAATGATATTTGTACATATAATATAAACATAAGATATATATATATATATTTGATATTATGTACACACACACATATATATATATATTACATACCCTATAGAGATTTCCATTGAGGGAAACATTGTGACAACAGACCGGCAACTTTGGCCGGCTATGGGTGGCATCTCTTTCCCGTGCCAGGGCAGACGACACGCGACGATGGAGCATGGGCATGATGCGACGGTGTGAGTCGATGGTGTTTTTTGGGTCGTCGAGATAGGGAGAGCATTCGGGAGCTATCCATCATAAGATTCGGTCCGAGAATACAATCAACAGGGGGACATGATACACACAGGAGATAATGAATACTTTTGTGGCACTAGGTACTGCTATGGCGGTCTTCAGGACATTGGTCTATTGAAGAGGTGGACATGGCCCGTACCACCAATCCACGAGGCAGCCACCGCCCAATGTCTTCACTCCCTCGCAGTCTCGGCCAAGCACGGTGTACCAGGCAGATTGAGGGGCCAGAGATTTCGATGTATTTTGGGTTTGTCCAAAAATGAGCCCCAAGATAGCAACTTTCATGTGGAAAAGGGTGATCAAGCATCAAGTGTTGGGGTACGCATGCTTCCACTACCTCCTGTGTCAACTTCGCAACTCGTGATTCTAGATGTGTGGTTGACTTGGTAAGGGGGATAGCTGCCAAATGACATTTGTCCGAAACTCGGAAGCTTGCGAACTAATTTTCCTTTGACAATGGGATATGAAATCAACAATATCTCATATATAACCAGTTCTAACTATACTGTTAAACAATGTCAATAAACGGTTTTGAGTCTCGCCCCAGGACGAAGTGCTCATCGGTCAGAAGCGGGCCACCTCAAGCTCCCACAAAAAGAAGGAACTGCCTGGGGCCTGCCATCAGTTGTATCCCAAAATGACACACGAATATTTGTTGTAATCACCAAAAAGACAGAAAAGTCATGATAGTCATGCAGCATTATTTTCGTAGAAGTTTAAACTTCCATTTTTTGAGGGCTGCTATACGCTTCTTTTTTCCCCACCTGTCAGGTGAGGGTTGTTAGATTTTGTGTCAGCTGTCCCGCCTCATCCTCCGCCTCCTCCGCCGGACCTCAACTGCAAGCGCAGCTAGATCGCAGTGTTCCCCGGCCGGACCCGAACAGCAAGCTCAGGATCAGAGTGTTCCTCGCAGTGTTCCCCGCCGGACCCGAACAGCAAGCTCAGGATCAGAGTGTTCCCTGCCGGACCTCAACTGCAAGCGCTAGATCGCAGTGTTCCCCGCCGGACGCGAACAGCAACTTCTCCCCTTCCCTCGACTTCTCTCTTTTCCCCTTCTTGTCCAGTTCCCCAGCTGAAGAGAACGTCGGAGAGAATGCCAGATAGAATGTCAGAATAGATGTCGGAGAGAATGCCAGATAGAATGTCAGAATAGATGTCAGATAGAATGTCAGAATAGATGTCAGATAGAATGTCAGATAGAATGTTAGCTCAAATGTCAGAATATATGCCTTGAAATGCCATGGTGGGGATCACTCGAAGTAAAGCATTTTTTTCAGCAAGATGCAGACTTTGGATGGTGACGGGCGGGCCACCTTTCTGGGGAATTGCCTGGGGGAACTCTGGACACTGCAGGAGCGACATGTTGCGTGCTTCCCTCAGCCCACCGCGTTGCCTCGCTGCAAAAATCAGGGCACCTAGATAGATAGATAGCTAGCTAGCTAGCTAGAGATAGATAGATAGATAGATAGATAGATAGATAGATAGATAGATAGAGAGATAGATACATTTAAAAAAATATGCATTTTATATTATATACATACTGTATATTATATATTATATATTACATATTACATATTTTATATTGTATACAGTACTATATATTTCATATTATATATAGAGGCGCCTTTGAAAAGGGAGATAGACCTCAAAACAATGGCAAACTTTTCAAAGAAATCCACTGACCATGATGATCCCCTGATCCAGATCGAAGTTGCAGATCCAAGAACTGTGACATGATGTTTGGTGGCCATTTCAGGTCCGCACCCGACCTGAAAGCTGCTGAAACCACGCTACTCAGCGGTGTGAAGACTGGGGGTGCCAATCAAAATTGGGATATGTGATAAGAAGCCACTGCAAACAAATCCAATCTCGAAGGGTTCATTTTTTTCTGGTGCAGCCATACCCGACAAGAAACCATACCGTTGTCTTTCAGGGGCGCCAGTTTTTCGAGGGTTGGAAGATCAAGAACAGGCGGTTTCACTGTGAGAGACTGGAATACATGGTTTGTTATGTGTATATACAAGTATATATATATATACAATATAATATGTATGTACATATACATACATATATAACCGTACGCATTAATATATTATGCATATATATATATGTATATAAATAATATAATACACACACATACACTCATATTTACGGGTTTGTCCGAAATTGGGTTACGCCCAAACCATGTGGTTTATCATAAGTTTTCCCATTAACATGGCCACAAACGGGGAGACTCCCCATTTTCGGGCACACCCATATATAATATTCTTCATTATATAGATAGATAGATGGATGGATGGATGGATGGATGGATAGATAGATAGATATCCCCATTAGATCCCAATTATATCCACTTTTGTTGGTTAAACCAACCATGTTTGGACACACTCGTATACAGATACATGGATGAGAGACCCCTCCACTTAGAATCAACCGTGCGGCGCCGTTTATATTCAGCAACTGAGGCCTCTTCCCCCATTATGTAAGCAGAAACCGATGCTGCTTGACAGAAAAAGGGGGGGACATTTGGGCAGAATGCTTCCGCGGTTGGCCATTTTTGAGTGATGTTTGTGGCACTTTGTGGGTACTAGGTTCGCCCCAGTTGGTTTGTATTTTTGAGGCTCCAGAAAGAGATGTAACTTAGGTGTTGTGATGGCGCTTTTGGGCTTCAATCAATCGACCGCTGAAAAACAACTCGTAACCCCAGATGTCAGTGGGTTTTAACAGTTTTCTACCCCTGTGTTGTCATTTTGTTTGAAACTAGTAACTAGGGTACCGCATTCCATCCAGTCAGTCTATCATTTTCCCATGCTTTCCCAAATTTTTCCAGGTTTTTCCTAAGTTTTCATGGCCAAAAAGCAGGTACAAAACCTGGCAGGGCGAGCTGGTGGTGGACGAGGCTTCTCTGGTTCCCTTGATGCTTGGCAGCAACAGCTACGATGGCACCAACCATTTCGGGTGACCATGAAGGGATTGTTGGGACATGTTGGGACATTGGGTTTACCTTTTTTTTTGCTTATTTTTTTGGGAAAAAACCATGTGTGATTTGGGTGTAGCATCTTGAAAAAAAGCCATATACTTGTAGCAACATAAACGACCAAGAAAACAGGCAAGCATCACCTGGTGGTCAGACATGTGCCTTGCCTCAGTTGTCTGCGCTCCTAGGAGCGGCTGGTACTGGAAGACCAGGACAGTGGATGTGGTGCGGGTTTGCGTTGCCTCAGTCAGACTCAGACTGAAATGGCAAAGATGGCCATGTGTTGAGGAGCTGGAACATGCACATCTTCCGGAAAGACCAGGGTGCAGCGCGGCGCATGCCCGAGATGGCGGCAGGCGAAGATGGGGGCTGAGGGTCCGAGAGCACCAAGAGGTTGTTATTTGTTTGTTAAGTTAGTTTCTTTATTCACGACACTCACGATGTTTTCAAATTTAGTCGATGAATCAATTATTTCATCAATCTACTTATTTAGCATCCTAGAAAAAAAACTGACATAGATGGTTTCCCTCGCAAATCTTCTACAAATTGTGGATTCTGGGACACCAGCTTCACGTGACATCGGCTTGTTGATGACCAATCAACATTTTTGGGATGTGCAACATCGATGGGACGGCTCCAGGAAAATGAGTCAGAAATGGTGGCTCTTTCATGTGGATTTTCCATGTTGGTTTGCGGTAGGGTAGTTTCTGATTTTATTTGTTTCCTTTGCAGGTGTTGGCAACTTGGGTTTTCTATACCATTGGACCATCCAATGTTTAAAGACGGCCAGTATTGGCAGTATTGGTCACATTTGTGAGGAGTAGTTGACATCCACAGCCCCTGAAATGATAAGACATAGGGGAAGCATCTGGAAAATGCGTGATTTCAGATCAAATTGCAAACAGATCTAAGGGACATGGCTGCGCGCAGCGCACCTTATGATGTTTCCAGGGCTTATTTTCCAGTTTATCCAGACTTGAATGAAGGGAAATTTACAGGATCCCCCGTTACATTTTAGGGATTCGCAACCATGGTATTTGTTCCCAGTTCCCCGCCATTTTTTCAATCTTGTTCAAATCCATTGAGTTTAGGACCCAGTGGCCACAACCGCCTTGCGGGAGGTGGAGTGCTCTTTGGCAATGGGACCTTGCCACTCTTCAGCGGCGCTCACTTGATGAGCACGGGATACTTCTATTCCTTCAAGGCTGGGAGGGGTGACTGCCACGGTTGAAGGACAGCCCTGAGCTGTGCTCAAAATCCCTGGTTGTGGTTGTTGTTGTTGTTGTTGCTGGTGTTGTTGTTGTTGTTGCTGGTGTTGTTGTTGTTGTTGTTGTTGGAGTTTTGAATTTTCGGGGCTAATACTATCCAGCGGTCTCTGTCATTGCACAAAAACGAAGTCGGTTTCGGGCCCTCTAAAAACGACCTTTTGAGTGGGGGGGGGCCGGAAAAATATGTGTTTTGGAGATTTTGCAAGTGGTGCCAAAGAAAGAAGGCAATGGTGCATGAGTTGTGATAAAATGAGAAATGGCCGGTTTTCAGAATCAAGGTAGTGTTGTGGCACGACATGGCTCAGGGACGAAGCTCCCCAGGTCCACCGAGAACATTGGCTACAAACTCAAAACGTTCCGGAAAGCTGGAAACTGCACGGCTGGATGGAAACTGCGAAAATTACAGGAAACCTCACACAAAACATGTCTAACAGATCAGCGCTTTCCGACTACGAGGGTTGAGGCATGTTTTGAGATTTGATAACGTTTTGTTTTTACCGCAGAAATTTGTTCTCAAGACTGCTTCTGAGTGTGCCGGGCGTAAAAAGTTTTTGTTTTTGGGCCTCTTGAAAGAAGAAACTGCACTTGCTGGTCACATCCTTCATGCAAATGGTCCGGCTAATGATCTCAGCTGGATCCGGAAATACTTTCCCAACTGGCAGAAGAAGAGTTGGTGGTCAGAGGCTGCACAGGTGCCATTTCATTCATAGACACAGCAGGGGTGTCGCAACGCAGGCCCACGCTCGCTTTAGCGCCCATTGCCATGGAACAGATATTTGGGATGGTAAAATTCCTCATGGAAATCCAGTATTTTTTATTTAATATTTCCCCAAACAGCTCTTGAGCTGAATGGGGTTCTCAATTCTTGCTAAAAACGGCCTTTGTTCCCTCATGATTTGCTGGCTCCTCCTGGTTCCGGCTGGGGTTCCGGTGCTTGTCTCCCTTCTTCTCTCTTCTTTCTTTTCTCAGAAAAGGGGTTCTGTTCTGATTTGCTGGTTCCTCTTCGTTCTGACGTTGGTTCCGGTGCTTGTCTCCCTTCTTCTCTTTTCTTTCTTTTCTTAGGAAAAGGGTTCTGTTCCATCACGGATTTCCTGGTTCCTCCTGCTTCGGGCTGGGGTTCCGGTGCTTGTCTCCCTTCTTCTCCCTTTTTGCTGGCGCTATTGTTCTCAAGAGAAAACAGCTTGTACCAGTTTTGGACTCGTCTGAAAATTAAGGACCTCCACTCTGTATGGATTCCTGGATGTGTCGGGGCGTCTCTTTTACATATTGCCTCGTATTTGTACGGTTGAAGTAATGAAGGAGTAAAACAGAAGACAGGAGTGTGCCAGACAGTTCCATGAATTTTGAATTGCACATGACCTTGGTGGAAACATCCGTTGTTGCTGTTTGGGGTCTATGCTGGTGTAATTTTTATTTATAAAATAACTAATAACCAACAAAATGGAATGATTCAGGGTTTTGAACCTGCTCACCTAGTTTTTTTTTAAATAGAAGAACCAGAAAAATGGGCATGGTCCAAAATTTCAGGGGGACCACAGGTTTTGGTCATGGTAATCGCATGGCACCTTGCTTGGGACTGAGCATTCAGATTGCCAAGGAATAACAGTGTCACGTGCCTTGAGAGTTTTGCTTCCCAAGCAAACTTGCAGGTGGATGCTGTTGACGATCAGCATTTTCCGACACTCGGCGATGTGGGGTAGTGGTTCGCCTGGAATAAACACTCTTAATTCCCCAGCCTCCCGGTGGTATTTGTGGCTAGACTGATGATCAGTTCATGCAAACCTAGGGATGCTGATTCTCAAACCTCCCAGTGGGTGTTTTGTTAAGAAAATCTCAAGGGGGCCACAATCCTTCATGCTGTCAGGTCAGTCAACCATGGAACATGTAGCGTGCAACACACTGACAGGGTAAAAACTGGGCAACTGAAACCAAAGACAAGTTGAAAAAAACCACAGATCAAAACGCGTCGGCGCCTGATTCTTCAACTTCGGACCCAAGATGTGACTCAAAAAATGGGGGTTCCAAACTTGGTATGGTTGAAATTATAACGCATATTCAACATCAGCAGCTGTGATAACTATCCTGAGGCTGGACGATCTCAGAGATTTGTCTCTAGCTTTTGGCGTCTCCTTCCTCCCGGGTGGTCATCGGCTGGGGTCCCTGAGGGCAAAGGATGTTACCAGGGGATGTAGCCAACGTAGCCCAGCAAAAATAGGGATAGACAGTAAATCGACAGGTGGCAGATTGTTGCAGATTTCCTCTTAGAAAGATTCAAGAAGCTCCAAGTCATCCACCATTTCACATTCTATTTTCATAAGTAGAGGAAATCAGGATTGTTTTTTCAGTTTCATCCTCAGGATCCTGATTGTTCCCTCGCTGAGGCTCTGCAAGAATACCATGTATGCCTACGAGATCCCAGGTTCCCCTCGCATGGTGGTGGGGGGAGCTATAGGATTGCCCACTCAGCCCACTCCCCAGCTTTTTGAAAGAAGTGGTGACTAAGACTCCAATGAGACCAAATCCACTTACAGTTTCAACATGTAAGTGATAGGACCATTCTTGGGAGAACATTTGCCAGGGGATCGGGATTCCTTGCAGTAATGTTACCCCGGGATGAATAAACCACCAGTTTATTAATGTGGTGAACCAATTTTAGTAGACATTCGTCACCATGTTGGGGTCGGGGTTGACCACCTAACCATCCAATTACTAGTCAGGGTCTATTGCTCCGGGGTTGACATTCATAACCCTGACTGCACAGGCAGCATCCTGATTGGTTATGGCAAGCATGTGGTTGATAGCTGCATCCTCAGCGGATTTCCCGGCCATGTTTGATATCGACACCCCAAATTGGTTGATGTTGATGTTGGTTGTATCATATCCATCATATCCCAGAAGATTCCCCAAAATTCATCAAACTTAAGCGTTGCTGACATCACCATGAAATCACAATTCTTGGATCATTGCTGAGGCGGCGAGTGGTTCACACACAAGGCCTCCAATTTTCGTCGATCGTCGATCCAAGTCTTCGGCTGCTGGGGAAACTGAGCTCTACCCGGCTCTACCCTTTGGGAATTTAAGGCAGCTATGTAAAATTAGCATTTAAATATGGGTGTTTCCTAAAATGGGGGTACCCCCAAATCATCCATTTTAATAGACTTGTCCATTATAAACCATCCATTTTGGGGTACCACCATTTTAGGAAACATCCATATGAACATTCTTAACCATCTACCCTCGGTTGATTTGGAACTGGAAAGCAACCCAAAGCAGCACTGGACTTCAGCTGGATCATACCAGTCTCCACTTCTTTCACGAGTGGGAGCATGGGGTTAGTGAAACATTATAGTTTACACAGACCACATGTTTGGACAGATCATAATTATTGTTGGGTTATCCCATTATATGATATTATAAATTATATGTGTATATGTATAGATATGTCCCCATAATCCATCTTTTTCTTCAAGATTTGGTGACACCCCTCATGAAAAATCTCCATTGAGGCCACCTGAAAACCCGATCAAAACCACATGGAAAAACCACATGTTCGGCTCGTGGTCAACCCATCAAACCCCAATTTTCTTCGTTAATTTCCATGAAAAACTCTAAGAGAAACCCATGTTAAAACATGTTAAAAGCCCCCCACGAAAAGCCCATGAGAGCCACATGAAACGCCCAAGATTTGTTGGTGAAATCCCTGCAGGCTTGGGATCCCAAATCCTTGGAGCCGGGAGATGTGGTGCGGAGACCTGAGAACGACCTCACCAGGAGATGAAAAAATACCATGACGCCCAAAGTTCTGGCTTATTTCAGTTCTTTCATCCAAATTTGTTTCTCTATGTCGATTTTTGAGCTTTCTGAAGTGTTCCTAAACCCCACGAATGGTTTATTGATGTTTACTTCAGGTTTATGAAGTATTGAATAACTTGCCCAGATAGGTGGAAGCGATGTGAAGAGGGGAACAATGAGTGGGTTGACTTTCTGGAGATTTTCATGAACCAGAAATTTCACCGGCCAAATCTTTGGTTTTGGAGTTTGAAGGGCGGGGTGTTGGAAAGCTCCGATGATTCTGACATATTCTGACGGGATCAGAGTACCACTGAGTAGCACACTCTTTTTTTGGATCATGGAATACCCAAGAAACTCCGCAGAACTTCCGCAGGTTGGGCTGCTTGTGAGTCCACATGGAGACTTGGTGGTCTACGTGAATGGGGCGCAGGCAGGGGTTCCAACTCGGTGACTATTGTATTGCAATATGTGTATCAATTGATGTATCTAACATAATCGCTTGGATTTTCAGCAGAAGTTGGGGATCTCCTCAACTGACCCACATGTAATTTCTATACAGGGCAAGCGATGGGATTTGTTGTCCGAGCACCTAGGCTCGCAGGAGGTAGTTTTTCCATGTCCTGTTGGATACTGATGCCTGAAATTTAACATGGAACCCTCAGCAATCGGTTTGGAAGATGATTGTTACACCTGCCGATAGCCGTCTTGCTGTTGAATGTCAACCCTCGATTTTTCTACGCTCATTGATGGGGCTGAAAAGTGATTTAGGGATAGTGCAATGCGTTGACATGACAGAATTTCTGTCACAGCACCATTTTTTTCACCCATGCTCCGATTTACCAGGTGCTGCGGGTTGCGACGAGTCTGACAGAGGGCAATCGACAAGAACCCCATCCTCGACGGAAGGAGCCTAGAGAATTTCAATGGATCGGACGGGTAGAAATTGTGCCAATTCCTATATAAGTTCGAATCATTTTGGGTTGGATTGTCAACCCCAACAACCTGAGCTTCTGAGGGGCCCCTATTGTTGGGGGGACTACCTGACTGGGTCCCGTTAAACTTCCATGAATTTTGGCGATTACCAGGCCTTGGGCCCTCGACGGAGCCTTTTCCCACTCATTGACTTGCATGGAAGAGCAGGGAAGCCTGTGGTTTGTGGTTCATGGACTTTAAACATGGGGGTGCCGCGTGAGTTGGTGAGACTGCCTAGATTTGGCGTACTGCTTCGAGCAGCTCTTTTGAGTGCTAGTGATGTGTAACAGGGAGCTCAGCAACGAAACCGGAGATCTGCTCGGCGATGAATTCTACTGCCTTAAGCAACAAGCCAGGGTCGAAGAAGAGACCGCGTGATATTTTGATTCCGGTTTTGGATGCTCAGCATTTTCATCATGATGATCTTAGGGAAATGTACAGGACATTTTCAGGCAATGATGATATCCATATATTCCGAGTAAAAACCATGGATTCCTAACGCTTTCATTGATCATTCCAACGCTTTGATTGCTCCCCAAACATCAAAGAAAAACTCCGGGTCCCACAGGAAAAGGCCCCCCAAAAATGATAGGTGAGTTGGTCAACATGACTAAGCTACCTGGGTTTATTTCATGGATATATCGAACTACGTAGTTAGATGGGGCAACATACCCTCTGGTAATTGGTAATTCAACATAGCTATGGAAAATAATCATTTGTAACAGGTAAATCATCTAGACATGGACCATTTTTCCATAGCTATGGTACTTTACTGGACGGTAGACCTGGAGGGCCCTGGTGGTGGCAGCCCATTCTCAGGTGACTGCTATCACCATGCTCCATGGGAGTGCACCCAACGTGAGTCTCTTGGCACCTTGGCGAAGGAACAGCGATGTTAGTGCTGGATGTTTAGTTTTTCTTGGGAGTATAAGTATATGGGCGGTATTTAGGGAGCGGACTGGGAGTATATATATATACATAATATGATATATATATATATACATAATATGATATATATATATATGTATATGTACACATACACTTTATATTAATCCTTTATAGACAATACATAGCTACTCTGTGTTGGCGATGTCGATGGACCTCTGAGGCGCGAAACAGATGTTGTGAGAAGAATCTGAATCCCTTGGGTTTCCAGGGGAAGAAGGCCATGGCCGCCATGGATTGGTGATGAGCTCGGGGGAATCTTTTTTTTTGTTCTTGGAAGCATATTTTTGAAAAAAAAAGGGCATACTTGGATCACTGGGTTGGTCCGCTAGCACACTACACCAAATAACAATCCACTTGGGGGTTACACGAAACCATACCCAACGGGGGTTTTACCACATGGTAAGGAATATGTTTCTCTCGTTTTGGGGACCTATGTAAGGGAAAATCGACTCATCGTTTGACCAACTTTTTTCCTTGGAGTAACAGCTGTGTTTTTGACCTTAAACTACGTAGGTCTGGGATTGGAGGTCATCCAATGTACAATTGGAGGTCATCCAATGTACTTGTGACCCACAGAATTGGATGATATTTGTAGATTCGTCTAGTTATATAATGATTGAATCAATCATTAGCTACAATCATTAACTACAATCATTAACTACAATCATTAACATCATAAACTACAATTATTACAGTAATGGTGATTGTAGTTAAAGATTGATTCTAGAATTCAGCCATATTTTGACTCCACTGAAGCAGTTGGAGGGGTCGCCTGACGGGAGAGGCCTTCCCGATCCCCGGCCGAAGCCTACCTGGCCTTGGCAAGGCGGAAATGGTCGTGGGAAAACTGGACGGGGGCGAGTGAAACGAGTGAAACGTGCCATTCACATCCTGTTAGTCACGGCAGCTTCGAAAAACAGTCAGCCGGTCACCAACCATTTTGGCGAGGTTCAAAATCCACCAGAAACAGGTCATTCGTAGAGGCTTGTAGATGGACGGCCTAAGGTTGCACCGGATCCTGATTCAGCTTGCTAAGCTGTAGCGAGTCCACCAGCCTGGATGTTTCTATGGCGAGTTTAAGTCAATAAAATAAGTCTGAATTAGTTCCAAATTAGATCTACATCAGCTTTTTTAAAATAAGTTCAATTAAGTGTACATCAATTTCGCATCATCTAATTTAATTTCAAATTGCATCTAACTATTTTTTTCATTTCTATCCAATTGCAAGCTAGATTTAAATCATTCAAAATAAGTCATTTTTGAATTTTATCTAAATTGGTACTGAAATTAAATCAAATCTAAATCACTACTCAATTTAACCTATATCAATTTGAATTGGAATAAGTCAATTTTAATTAGATCTGAAAGTACCTGCAATGACATCTAAATAGATTTCACATTAGATCTAAATAGATCTGAATTATTTGTTCATTCAATAGAATTTAATTTGAATGTAAATTTAAGTCAGTTCTAGGTTACAATTTTAAATTGATTTCAAATTAAATCTAAGTTGCGTTTTAAATAGTGAAAACTAAATTAATCCTAAATCCATTTTGAATAAACATGATCCTAAGTTTAAATTGATTTCAAGTTACATCTAAATTAATCTAAATTAATCATTCAATTGGATTTAGATTAATTCTAAATCAATTCGAATTTAAGCCAAAACAATGTTTAAATCTAAGTCATTTTCAAATTATATGCAAATGTATTTAAAAGTGAAACTCGTTTATTTTCACTTTAAAATTGGACTCAATTTAAGCAATATTTAGATTAATTTCAGATCTGCCACCAACCAGAAAAATCAATTGAACCCCTGGGAGAAACAAGGAAAGCAGCTCCCAGAGCCAAAGAACACCAAATAAGAACAGATCATAACAGATCATTTTCCACCAGAATTGGAAAGGAACCATTTTTTCCCGCAACTCATCCTTTCGTAATTGGTGGTAAAAAGCCCATGGGAAACCTCCCTCCATCCTCCATCCAGGTGGTCCCGGACATCGATGCGCTTCCGGGCTACAGGGAAATCTGAGGGCCCGGGAGGCGATCCCGGGATCATAAGTCATGATGTTTGGAACATCTGAGGTGCTGGGTTTTTAAAGATGTTTTTAATGAGGTCAAACACAACAAACGTGCTGGTCATTCAAGCCCTTCTGTATCGCCTGGTCATTTTGAAGCGTTGAACCATGTTGAAGCTATGGCTATCATATCTTGGAGAATTCCTTTGAAAGGTGAAGGGCATCTGAATTTATTCTATGTTGATTATGTTGCAAGAATCTTCTTTGGAGCTTAGCCTTTCAGCTCGGCTCGCCGTTTGTTGGCTGCCCCAAATTCTTCCCGACTTTTGGTTTGAATCAGCCAAGTCCGTGCCGAAGTGGTAGTTTAGCCACTCAAGACATCTCAAGACTGGGTTGTTGATAGTTGTCTTCTGTGAATGTCGAATGAACAAGCAGAAGAGTTGAAAGAAAGCCTGTACCTAGCTCCTGACCATGCCATTTGCTTCAAATGCCCAAGTCAGCCCCCCGGATCATCACATTTTCAATAACAGGCCCCTATTCTCCTGCACTTTCCGCGCTAGGAGCACCTAGCCGCGAGTTGACAAGTGAATGTCTCACACAAAGACATTGACAAAGGGGAGGGCACCAAATGGCCTAAACATGGGGTACCAATGGACCTGCAGCATGCTCACTAGTTTAATGCTGAATCGTCCATTTACAGGTACATCATTTTGAGCCGTACTCGGATGTTGGGGCATTCTTTCTCTTCAGCCGAGCCGTCATCTGACCCCTAAAACCAACTTTGGCTGATTTAACGCTAGGTTGGTGGTTGTCTATTGGTATCTTCACGTCACCATTTCAAGAGATTATATAATCTGCTCCATTCTGCTCCTATTTCTGATGGAAATCCCCAAAAATCAACAGCCAATCTCTGCGAGATTGGGTGGGTTGACCCTCTTTTCTCAACCTGTGACAGTGTGAGGGTCCGCATACCCAAGGTATCCTGCGACCCTGCGTGATGTTTGGAAAGAAACGCTGCGACCGGATATTTCTTGGGATTTTGAGTGGCTATGAGAAATTCGTTTGGGCATTTTTTGGGCGCTAGGTGACACCAGATACACTGTGCATTCCCTTAGAAAATCATATATATATATACATACATATACACATCTATCTTGCCGCATCAGCTGCTGCTAGTTCTGAGTGGCTCTTTGCCAGCCCAGTTGGTAGTCTACCAGGTTGTGGGGATTGGGGGGGAAGCTCCCCAAATTCTTGGCACCAAGGGTTCCATTAATCCAGGGTTGGCATTAAGTTGCTCCAGAGGCGGAATGATTTTGGATCTACTCCCAGATTGTGTTTGCAAAGTACCGTCATCAGGGCATGGTCGGGTCAGCTGTCAGCTATTGTGTGTGACATGGTTGTAGTAGACACAAGGCGGGACTTGTTGTTAAAAGAGATATGACTTGCACGGGACTGCTTCAGGCGGCGAACAGGTTATTTTCAAAGGAGTGCTTGCAAAATCGGGAGGGTGCAAAGCGGCAAATGCAAACATGATGCCCTCAGGACCTAGTACACATGTTTCACATTCATGTACCAGTAGAGGATACGTCAATTGAAATGACAACTATATAGAGTCAGAACCATCCCCTGTGAGTCTGATGGGTCGATTCCTGGGCTGATTTGAATGCTCTAGCTTTAGGTTGCCATACGTTGCCCACGCAAATGCATGAAATTGTTCAGAAGGCTTCATACCAGACATGGGATTCATATTGGAGATTGTACAGGCAGCATCATGACCAGAAACTAGTGAAACCCTTAACTATTAGCCCATAAGCATCAGCGCAATTATTTGTCTAGATGCATCAATATTTATAGTATGCAAAAGTGCACCATATACAAAGAGGTTATTCACCTAGCATGTGCAAAAAACATCGAACACATTGTATGTGTCAGGACAAGTTCTGTCTTTGCAAGTGTTTTGTCATGGCGCGGGCGTGGAAGCTCTTGCTCCTCGACTCCCAACGGTTTAGAGCCGAAATATTGATGGCTGCACCGTGTCGATATCTTGGACTTGTTTCAATCAAGTTCCGATCCAATGAAATGAATCAAGTCCATGAGCTATGGGAAGTTATCCTTCAAAAGCATGATGACAACAATAGTCAACAATCATGTTGAGAATCGGGAATGTATGTTTGAAATTTGAACTATACTCAATTGGAAACATGTAGATGGCAGATTCTCCCTCCAGTGAACACCTATATCGAACACCCACCATTTCTAGATCACTTTCCGAACGGAAACCATACGTTTTGTTTTTGTTACTTGATGGTTCACCTCAGCCTCCCAGCCACTCGAAGGTCAGATGCCAGGAAGCTCCAAGGCGATTGGAGAACGACCAGTGGAGGAAATGCGGTGAATTTAAAACAGCCATCTGCTTTGAATATGTCCCAATATTGGGATATGGTATATTGGGATATCATAATATAATAATATACATCAAAATATGGAATATGATGTCCCAAAAAATCACATACCATGATATACCATGATATAGCGCTGTATGATTTTTGGAAGCCCATGGGGAAATTGTGGGAAATCCATGGGTCAAACAACATATCTACATTATCTAAGTCCCTTTGTCCCAAAAAGCACGTCATCATTCAACATTGATTGTAACCGTAGAAGCGAGGGCGGGTTTGGCAAGAGTTGCCGAGTTGATATTCCACTGGGATACAGTAGAAAAGAAATTCCGTCAGGTCAGTATCCAATGCCTGGTGCTGTCAACCATTCTTAATCCAAAAGATGTTTTGCGATGATTGTCCCAACTTCATTACAAGAAAATGGCATGTTCGTGGACCCTTTGGGTCAGACTGCAACTGAGTGCTCATTTGGTGGTATTCAGGGGTTTGGCTCAACCATCAATCAGCCGACCATCTAAAGAAGAACCTCTACATGTCCAGAGGACGAGATGCTTTGAAACTCAGGAGGTGTATTGAATCCAGAATCATTCCTCGTGAAGAACCTCCTGGTTTCCTGTGATTTGTGTTTGTCCAAAAATGGAGGATTCACCACCCATTTAACCATTTATGGCAATTTTGATGTGATTATCCACTGTGATTGGTGGTTTCCAAGAGCTTGTCTCTACCCTTTTCGCTGCTGTCCGCCTTTCGATTTGTGGCTCCAGCTCTTACAGAGTGGTTTCAACAGTTTCCATGCACGCAAAACTGAGACCCCCAACCTGCAGGGTGGACACAATTTAGAGGAACAACTTGTCATAGGACCTCAAACTGTTCAAAATTATGTGCTCTTGAGATCGTGAGAAACCCACACCATGTTCTTGGCCAGGTATGAATGCTCCTCAACCGACCCCTGCCACACCCCTTTGCACCATCTGACAACACTTGCACCTTCCCACCAGCGGTAACCAGCCATGGTGCAAGTGACGTTTCGGGTCCGGTGTCAAAACACCCAGCCGGGGGAGAAGGCAGGTGGAAGTGGCGCCTCCCCAGCGAGTCCCAAACCTTGGCATTTTTGGCGTGTCCCCTGGGGCCCTAATTATGTAAAACTCCAGTGTTTGGCACCCCCAATTTTTGTAGAGACCAACATCCTTATTGAAAATCAATTTTTCAGCTGACATACCCCTGGCTTTTGTTGGGAAGTCGACTATGCTTGTTGCATCCACCGCAATTTTTATTCCAGCTATATAGTCTATTTTGTTTTTGCTCGTTCATCCAATCTTTTGTTGAGTTCGACATATCCATTTTGGAAGGTCCTTGAATCTCTTTCGTCTAAATTAGGGATAAGTCAATGGTGCAAATTGGGTTGTCATTTGCATCCCAACATGACGATAGCTCTGTTGATTTTTGGGGATGTGGACGTAAGAAAAAACCACGGTGCATTGAAATCCATTCCCATCTGTGGATGTTACCAGCTGAGGTTGGGGATTCGGGATCTAAGTACCCAAAGCCCGGAGTTTAGCCCAAAATATTTCGGTTTTCGGGTAAACCATAAGGGAGAAAAGATCACAATTTTTTGATGGACAACATGTTCTTTCATGGAAATTCAGCCAGCCCCCAAAAAGGGGACCTCCCAAAGTAAATCCCCATGACTGTTTCTCATAGCGGCACCAGATAGTGCCCCCCAAGTTATATATGTTTGCTGGCTTATGTTGCCCCCATCTATATAACTTATAATACTAGTTCGATACATCCACCGTACATGAGTTAGCCAAGTGATGTAAACCAATTGACCTATCATTTTCATTACACTTCTAATATATTCTAATTGTTTCTTGGTGAAATCCTACGTGTTTCCTCTTTTTTTTTCGGAGTTCCAGGGGCCACACGGCCCAGGTCCAGGTTTGCCGACCCGCCTCCGCCGCCGTTGCAGGTCTATGTGGTGGGCAGCGGCACCAAGTTGGGTGCCTGGTCCCCGGACTCTGCATTGATGTTGAGCACTGGGCCACAGGAGGGATGGGGATGAGGAGAGCTCTTCAGCTGGGACAATGAAAACCATGCCATTTATAGAATAGGTATCCACCTATTGACCAATCAGTAGGTCATGGGATGGATTCATGATATTTTTCATGGCTCCTGTGAAAAAATGGGCAACCGGTGGAAAACAACTATAGAAAACGTGGCGGAAAATGGAAAGGATGGGAACACATCGACGTTTACCCTTGGCAATGCAAGTTGGTAATGGGAAATCCTCCCACAAACCGTCGCCATTTTTATTTGGATAACTAACAAAGAAGACACAATACCCCATTGACCCCATAGCAAACCAGAAATCCGACGTATTGAGACCATACCCCACAACAGGGATATCATTTGTTTTACCACATTTTGGGAACATACATCAGGAACGCCCAGCTGGCAAATCTCATCAAGACGAAATTCGAAGTTGCGCGTTTGGTATGGTGTATATATCATATATATATATAATATATGTATATATATATATTCTTCCTTTTTCCTCATGCTCATAGGTGCTGTTCGCAGCTGCGGCATAGCAACTCAATTCGATTGACTGAGGTCCCCGACAGGGTGTGTATATATATATATATATGTATATCATAATTCAGACTGCAGTATAACGAGATGTATTTGTATATGTACATTATGAATCTTATTATTACTATCAATATTGTATGATGTATTATTGTTTACTATAATAATTGTAGTGTATTCTGCAATATATTTGGGTATATTATAAAGTATTGTTATACATTGTTATGCATTATTTATTGTCATGCATTATTAAATACTCTTATGTATTATTCTATTGTGTTTTATCATATTATATTTTTCATATTTCTATTTTATATGATCACATATTGTTATTTATTGTTACATGTTATGTATTATATATATATTATTACGCACAGACCCTGTGGTTTGCCCGGACTGCAACATTGAGGATTCCCTGTCGTCTAGGGTTTTAGGGTTTAGGGTTCGTCGTCTGGTAAACACCAAAACACTGGCCCTGAGCAGGTTTTTGAGCATGTCAAAGGATAATATTTGAACTCCATTCCAACCTTGTGGGCAAACCATAGGGTCTTGCTGTATTATGATATACTACTATATATTACGTACTATATACTAATATACTATTATATATTACTATTTACTATTATATACTATTACATATCTACACTATTATATATACACTATTATATATATACACTATTATATATACACTATTATATATACACTATTATATATACACTATTATATATACACTATTATATATACACTATTATATATACACTATTATATATACACTATTATATATACACTATTATATATACACTATTATATATATACACTATTATATATACACTATTATATACTATTACATATCAATATATATATGTATACACATCATTTCATATTATTCGATGCCAATATAACTAATATAACTATTGTATTTTTGTAAGAACGTTTTTTTTAATCATGATATTTTTGGCTTGTACTAAAAAAACATGTTTAATCATGCCATTATGATAACAACTACTATTTTTTGTTATTATTGCCATAAATATGATTACATACACGCATATATCATTATATTACTATAAACATACTATTGTATTTATAATCGATATTGTATTTATACTCGATACTATTTTTGTATTTTTAATTTACATTTGTATACACATGTTTCATTGTATATAACATGTTTCCTTATATATACATTTATCTATATTATGTTTGTTGTTCTAGTATGCTCATGAAATGACTATACATATATATATATAATATGTGTATATATATATACACATGTATATGCATTGTTACATCTATTCTCATGATATATATATATATACATATACACATTAAAACATATATTGTAGTATACATGAGTACATTGTAAAGATGGATCATACCATGGAGATCCTGGAAAATGTTCCAGCCCAAGGATTCGCTCGAGAATTGGTCTGTTGTTTTTATTCGCCAGGAGTTCCCCACTTGGTCGGCGGCGGTGACAGTTCCAGAAGGAACATTGGAGTACAAGTTTATTGCAACTTGGCTCAAGGACATCTTGGAATATATGCGTATTATACACACATATGAATATATTTACATCTGCATGTATATAATATAAATAAATATATATATGTAACTATGTGTTGTTATATATGCCAGCTGGTGGATGAGTTTTTTCCAGGGTTTCTTTGAAACCGCTGCAACATTTTCCGGCTTCTGCAGGGAGGACACTGGTGTCACCCAACTCGTAAGGTCAAGCGTGATGACAAGAAAGCTCCAGCAACTGGGACACCAGCTGCAGCAGCTGCAAGTTTTTGGTTGGGACGTAGGGAAAGTCTCAACCTATTGACATTGATACCCTAAAGGGCAATTTAACATATCGAAAACGGCCAATTTATCGATGATTTACCTTTTTGAACATGGTGATTTTCCATAGTTATGTGAAATTACCAGAGAGTACATATTTTCATTGCCTCCGGAACGTTTCATTTTTGTGGACATAGTTGACCCTATCCATATTTCAAGATGATCTCAATGTTCTGGGGTAAACATCCTGCTTTAGTAGACCTTTTTCTCCAACAAAAAAAATTGAAATAAGCTATCAGGTCACTTAATGGTCAATGTGATCCCCCTACTGTGGCTTCTTAATGATGGAATTTCGGTTGGTTCACCGGTTATTTCCGGTTGGAATCGCCCATATGAGGATGATGCTATATCTATCTATCTACCTACCTATCTATCCATCCATGCATCCATCCATCTATGCTCCTATCCAATCCAATGCCAATTCCATTCAATCCAATGAAATTGTCAATTTGTCTATTTCTATCTATTTGCATCTGTTGCTATCTATTTCTTTCTACTTGCAATTTCTGTCTATTCCTAATTTTCTATTTACTTCTTATCCATCTCTATCTATTTTATCTGCTTCTATCCATTTCTATTTCTCTGTATCTATTTCTATCGTAGCTTACTTACTTCTATCTATTTCTATCTCTATCTATCTATCAGTCTATATCATATCTATTTCTTTCTATGTCTATGAGATATGTCTATATGCATCTATGAAAAACACACTCTCTCTCCCCTCATGTCACACACACACACACACACACGCACACCGAAGAATCTATATCTTTCGGTGCCCTTCGATTTGAAACGTGTCACCCATGCTGGGAGTTGTGCTTAGGTCCGCTGGGAAGGGGTTGAGGGCAATCGACAGCTGTGAGCCTCGGGCAAGACTGAGAATGGGATGATGTTTCCAATGACCCCTAGTCATGGTTGGTTGATAAACACCCAACAACATTAATGGTTAATGCTTGGTTAATGTTTATGACCCCTAGTCATTAAAGGGATGATGGTTTATAGCTTTGGGTTTACCACATAAACACCTTGTGATGAGGGATTTAACCAACCGAACATAGGGGATTTATGACGATTTCATGTTAGCTAAATGGGTTCAACATCGCTTGTTGGCTGGTGATTTAATGGGGATTTAGCTGTCATATCTAGGGTTTTAACCATCGACAATATGGGGATGTAAAATTGATAGTTGATGGTTGGTTGATGATTAGTTCGGTGGTTGTACTACCCTTTATATATTCGGGATTACCATAATCCATGAACTGGGAATCCCTATGAAACTGAGGTTCACTCACCAAACATGGGGACATCATCCAGAAGCGATGATGGTTGGTGCAGACGACAGATAGTTTTTCATCCCAAAGCTGTTGGAAAAGGCAGCTGTTATCAAAGATCAGAAAGATTAAGGCTGTTTCTTCACCGAAGATGTTCCAAACATGAACGGTCAACAGCCTGGGTTTGCCTTGTTTCCCGGGGTTCCTTTCCCCCCCATGATAGTGTTGAACATATAGCCAATGTATGCCAATTGAATCAGTTCAAGTGGAGTCTATCACATCCGTCTATCCCAGACAATAACGGTTGGTACTACTGACATCTGAGTCAGTTGACCTCCCAACAGTTCTTGGTCATATCACGCGTAATTTGATGCTTGGAATATCATTTCATTCATTGTTTGTATTGGCATCATCATGGGATTATTGTGGGTGATGCGAGTCCTTATTTCTTTGTCAACTGCCACACCTTATCCTTCGATTCACAATTTTTGGCTGGTGAATCTCAAATGTGTATTCGCTAAATCCTAGGTTTTTGTTTAAATTCTAGTTGTTTAGTTGACCAAATCCATTTTTTTATTGGCTAAATCTTGATTTTGGTTGGTTCAATCCTTTCTTTTGCTAGTTGAATCCTTTCTTGTTTCTACTTGTGTCAATCATTTCATTCGTTGGAACAATCTCATTTTTCCTTGGTGACGGAGGTGTGGAGGGTGACAGCCCCTTGGAAGTCTTTGCCACTTGGGGCGATACCAACGAGAAGGTGCCCAGGGCAAGCCCCAAAAAGATGGGATAGCAAAATCTGTTGGTCAACTAGCGGAGACGCATTTTTCTATCTGTTTTTTTTTGGTGCTTTTTGATGGGAATATAGTGGGGATATAATAGGGATACAAGCTACCATAATGGATATATATACATATATATATATACATATATAAAGAAGTATATAAGCAGGTAAAGTTTATGTAGTGGGATATATCACTACAACCAACTTGATATGATATATGGGGGTGTCTGAACATGGAGGATCTTACTGTACCCTACAATTTATTGCAATTTTCATGGAGAACGTGATGACAAACGATAGGATTTTCTTGGGTACCGTATTTGCACAGCTTTCCCCATGGAGATGGAGACTGCTCAACATGGGGATGGATGAAACCTATGAATTAGCATATTTTGTTTGGATGAAGATCCGTTGCCAGCTAGTTTGGTGTTCACCAGGGTGCGAGGGTTTACTAGTCAATGAGAAACGGTGATATATAATCCCACGACATCTATATAGACGTTGACATTGTCCCTACTATGCGCGATCTGGCACTTTTTCCTGATGGGAAACGAGCGACCAGACGTCACTGTAGGAAGTTGCTGAATTGTTGGAACATGCCTAAACATGCAGACAACATGCTATGAATTCTCCTCGTATTCTTGGTGTCCCCCATTGTTCCCTTTGGGTCAAGCTCAAATGACCATGAGTTGTAGACTGAGGCATCTTCAGGAACTGGTTCGTGAACCATAGTTCTAAGCTACAATCCAGGAATGGAATCACCTCACTTCAATTCTTCCAAGGCAAGGCTCCCAGGTTTTTGCTTTTTTGGTGCTCTGGGCCGGAAATCCCTCCAGGTGGTCGCAGGCTCCGTAGAAGGCCTGGGCTCAAGTCTGGATGGGTTCAAATTCGCCTTGGGATCAGATTTACAGTATAACATCAGTATGACCAGATGGATGCACTGGGATTTTCCAATTGCAATAAATGAATGGGGATGCACCGTTCAAGAGTTGAACCGCTCTAGAAAAGAGTCGTGGGGAGTTCACCACCAATAGGTTAAACAGTCTGAACCTTGGACAGATGCAACTCTCAATAGATGCAAACATTCCCAATCATGGGCGATATTGCGGATTATCCATGTTTTTTCAGCCGGATTCAAACGGGAGCCGGCTGACAGAATTGCGCAAGGTCTGAATGACCATCCTATTTTCGTGTACGTTTACTGTGGTATGAGGGTTTTCGCACGCGAACGAAACCATAGTATCTGACAAACGGACTCAAAGCATTCGTGGTCTAACTTCATTCCACATCCTAGGGCCATCTTCAGCTGGAAACCCAAGAGTACTAGTTCATACTAGTTCCACAATGTCAAGCCCGGATTGCTAAACACAGGGCTGTCTAATTAGGGGAGGGGCTACCATCAACCAGCTCCGCAGATGTGGAGGGCGAAGGCCAGCAACTCAGTGTCACAAGACGAGTTCAGGCAGACATGATAGGATGGCTGTTCATCAGGGCCATTGGGGGGTCCAAGTGCTATGTTACTATTTCTTCCCATTTCCTGCGTGGGGAGTTGTCAATTAGCATGATGCAAAAGTCCAACCCCCAATCAGTGTGGAGGCTATGTGCGTGTGGCGCTACTCAGCCCGACTCGGCCCATTCTGTTTTATGGTTCTTCTCGACAGTGGTTCGAGTTACCAAGTACCCACCGCCACACATTTAACTTTTGAAGCACATTTGCATGTTTTGCTCTGCTCGCATGCCCTGTTGGTTCTACTTTGAACAACCTCGCTTGCATCTCGTGCTATCTTACCAACAGATCTTACCATATCTTGCCATCCCTAAAACTTGTCTCCCAGAATTGAAGGTTCCATTCACAGGAAATACAGCCCGAGCGCTGGTTAAGAATCCGAAAGCTTGAGGCCCAGGGTCCCTCAAATTCTTATTTTTAAATGCAGGCAAATTTACACCACAACAGGCTGAGGGTCCCTCAAATTCTTAGGGCATTCTTAGTTTTGTATTGCAGGCATCTGCATAATTTGGAGCAAGCAAAAGTGAGGTAACAAGCTGGAGTTGGCAGATTTGACAAGAGGCATGCGAAAAAATGATTTTCTAGAGCCTGAAAAGTTGTGTTTTTTTTGTTTTTTTGCAAAGCTGGGCTGGTCTGAGTTTCATATGGTTTGTGTGCAAAAAAATGATTTTCTAGAGCCTGAAAAGTTGTTTTTTTTGCAAAGCTGGGCTGGTCTGAGTTTCATATGGTTTGTGTGCAAAAAAATGATTTTTTAGAGCCTGAAAAGTTGTTTTTTTCCATAAGACCATATAAGGGATCACGCCGCAAAAAAAAAGAAACGCAAAGGGGAATTGCAAACCTTACGTATAAGGAGTAACTTAAGAATTTGGCAATCCTATTCCAGGGTCCCTCAAATTCTTAAAGTCCTATGTGTTTAGTACAACTGAAAACATGTAGCCCGCCTTGGATTCGAGCCCCTCAAATTCTTATACAGTGAATTCTTCTTGTACAATACTCAAGCTGTATATCTATATAATATTCTCAGGCAAACCAGCTAACCCCAAAATTAGCCTCCCTGAACTGAAGAGAACAATTACCGAAACCAACCCCCATTTTTTTTGTAGAGAGAAAGGATGGTTTCAACTGTAAAAAACAAGGTTTACTCCCATATCCGCTCGAAAAAGTGCTCACAAAAAGTGTATTTCAGGGGAACCGCCAAGGTTCGTAATGCACTCGGTTTCCTGAAGATTTTCACTTCAACGCTCCCCCGGATTGTGGATGAACTATAGTGACCTCATTTTGATGTCACTGGAATGATGTGAATTGCAAGGGGGAATCATCCCCAATGGCCTTATTTCAGCCATTTTCAGGTTGGTGATTTGGTTACTTCTGGCTATATCTAGTACATTTCATGATAACGAATCTTCAGTGGCCACGAATCTATAATTCTATGTTCCATACCCAAGGCCAAATCTACAATTTTACGGGAAAATCATCATTATGGGGGTAGTACCCCTCATCATCCAGTCATGGATGACCATGACTTAGTATTCGTCAACCCATGGTGACGACTGGGGATCCCGCAGAGGATTGAGTATTGAGGCCTCTATGACCCTGGTGAAGAGTCTGATGATTCCCTGCAGCCGCCCAAAGGAGGTCTAAACTCTGGAGAGGAAGGAAGTGTTCAGCAGCAAACATTGAAGATTTATATAGCAATTTTAGCCAAGAAAAAGTGGGACTTACCTTGATTGAACCAACAAAAAATGGAATTTATTTAAGACGCATCAGGCTTTAACTTGATTTAACTAACAAAAATCAGGATTTAGCTCGTTTTAACCAAGAAAGATGGGTTTTCATTGATTTCACCAGCAAATTTCTTGCTTAGTATAAGGGAGAAAGTTTTCTTGCCATTGAAAGCAAAGATGATTTTCTCAGCTACCCTGATGATTGACGTGTTGAAGTGGGGTGTTTAAGTAACCAAAACGGGAGTTCCAACCAAAAAATCGATGATTTATATGATGTGATCAATGTGATCATAGAATTTAGGATGATCCTCTCAGGGGGAAGATCAAAGCCAAGAAAAGATGGGACTTCGAACCACGAGAACACAAACAACTCAATTCTTTGGGGTGAAAACGTCGGAACGGTAGGTGGTTTGGGTATGTTTGGGTTGGTTCAGAGAAAATTTTGGTAAATCTTGCGCCCAAGCTATCTGAAACCCATCAGCACCATAGCAGGCTACGCCTACGGCGGCTCCTCACGTCCTTCTGCTGGAGGATCTTCCTTGGATTGTTTGCAGCTCCTGAAGGTGCCCAGATTTGGGGGTACAAGATGCTACAAGACCTGCAGGTTTCCGGCAGTTCAGGCTTCCCTTAAAATCCATTGACATATTGGGATCATCCAAGAATACATCACTGCGATCATCAGGGAATGTCATGCAATTGTATAAGGGAAGTTTATGGGATCCTAGAACATAGTTTCGGATGATCCAAAAATGGTATGATCAATAGATATTTCTGACATGTTCATGGGATTTTGTGAGAATTTAGGGGATTGCAATGTGCTTTACCTACAAAGACGGGGGCTTTATGGGATTTGAAGTAACAAATCATGAGGAGTCCAAGTCCACTGCAAATCTCCAAAAAGTGGTGATCAACACTTGGGCCCATATTTTTTGATCGCCACCAAGACATGGATATGATCAACCAAAGGCAAATAGACAGCAACCATAGGTATAACAGCGATACCTGCATTGTGAACCCAAAACAGAAAGCGGGATATGGTCATATGTCTGTTGAGGTTGCGTCCAGAGACTACCTCTTTCATTTATGAATCGGCCAGAAGGCATGATAAGTCGGCCCAGTTGGGGTAATCCGCTAGACCAGTGCCCAACCGGGACGAAGATGCACGTGTAAGTTTTCTGAAGAAGGGAAATCAGCCTGGAAAAACCACATAGACTTTGCCTAATTCTCTATCTTTGGATTCAAGTGTTGGGCATGTTTTCGCAGCTCAGACTCTTCCCGGACTTGAAAATCGTTACGGGTGACAATGGACGGCAGTGAAAGCCACTGCATGTAAGCGATTTAAACATATCAGCTATGGATATATCATCCATAAGCCCTTGCCATAGCTATATGGATATATCATCCATAACCTATAGATAGCCAAGTTGACTTATATATATATATGGATAGATTCACCAAGTTATAAGTCAACTTCGCATAACTTGGCTATCTATAGGGCACGGGCCTCACCCGGGGTAGCATCCCTGCGAGTGCCCCGGGACACCGCGAGGTGCCCTGCGAGTTGAAGGGTCAGATGGTGATCTGTGGCGAAGGTGAAGCGTTGCTTGGCGAGAACTGGGGTAGTTGCGGGATATGAATGGAATATGAATGGAATATGAATGGGATTTGATGGGACAAATGGAGGTTTAATATGGTTTAATGGGATATTAATGGAATACTTATGCAATCCATCATTTATAGATAGCTGATTTTCCCAGCTAGAAACCTCCATTTAGTTCGGGGATTCGCAGCTAGCCACGTTTGATTCCCAGAGGGCAGTAAGTGAGTTATAACATGTTACAAGCGCTTATAATAAGTGGGTGAACCTGCACGTACACACACACACATCATGATGATGATGATGATTCTGCTGCTGCTGCTGATGATGATGACGACGACGACGACGACGATGATGACTATGACAATGACGATGACGATGATGATGATGATGATGATGAGGATGAGGATGAGGAGGAGGAGGAGGACGACGACGACGATGATGTTGATGACGAGGATGACGATGATGACGATGATGACGATGATGACGACGACGACGACGATGATGATGATGATGCTAAGAGACTGCCGGGTAAACTCATTCTCATCAACCGCCTCCACAACCATGTTATTTCATTATCTCTGAATCTGCCCTTTGATGACTCAATGGTTAATGGTTGAAGCAGAACGAGCCGCATTTTGAGCCGCCATGGCTCCTCGTCAGGAGTTTCCTGGTTCGACTTTGGGGGGTTTTAACCTGTGGAACTTGATCCGGTTGCGGGGCCATGACAAATACGGGCAAGTGACAGAGTGTGGCTACCAAAGCGCAAAATGAGATTCATATCCATATCCATCGTGGACCAGGGTTATGACAATAGTCAACAGTCAACAACTCAAATAGGTGGACATGGACATTTGATTTGCAACCCCGGTTCAAACCGCTAGTCAAATCATCATGGCTACTTGATAATTTCCATTCCAGTTTGTTTGTTAGTGACCGCCGAAGATTTCTTGGTGATACAGATACTAACATTTGCTGTTGATGGTTCTTGTGATTTCCCAACCAATTTGGCGGTGATTTCTCCCAATGTTAGGGATGGTGACATCCCTGCTAATTTGGGTTTATCTGAGAATAGGATACCCAGGAATTTTACGGTTCATCGTCATTTTCTCATCAAGATAGTATCGGATAGCCGTAACCCAGAGTAAATCCACCATTTTTGGGCACACCCAAACAATCATATTATGGTTGCTTATATCCCATGATATCCTATGAAATATCACCAGTACCATAGGATTGTTGGAATTTGAATTTAGATTCTAGCTTAAATTAAAAGATCAATATTCATTTTTTAATCCACAAAAGGTTTGAATATTCCCAGTCAACCTCTAACTTTTGTGGCTCAAACATCCATCCCTATTTGGACCTAAGGCTCGGTGGCTGGAACCCCTACATGGCCCCTACCCTGAAGCATGTGGGTACCTCGGGAGACCGAGAGGCCCAGGGGATGGATCTGGGGCCATCTGCGGGATATCTGGTTGGTGGCTTGGAACATGGTTTTTATATGTTTTTATGACTTTCCATATATTGGGAATGTCATCATCCCAACTGTTACTCACTCCATCATTTTTCGGGGTAGGGCTCAACCACCGCCAGATATTCTTAAGTCATGCGAATTGATGAAACAGATGGACCTTTGGGCGAGATTCACTTCTGGGTTCACTTTGTTTTTTTAGACAAAACCTATTGGAATGAGCTGGGCGCACTGATGGTTGGTGAAACTGGATCCGACCGACATTTAGTTATTTTGATGGGGGAAGTGGGAAAACACGTGACCCAGATATATATTATATATATATTTCGATGTATCCAAGACTAGACATGTCAGCTTGAACAATAATTGGTGCACCTATTCTGTGGTTGTTCGAGTCACAAAAGTTACACGGATATATAATATATATATTATCATATCATATCATATAATATAATATAATATAACATAATATGATATAATATAATAGAACATAATATGATATAATATAATATAATATAATATAATATATAATATATATAATATTTGATATATAATATATAATATATAATATATAATATATAATATATAATATATAATCTATAATATAATCTATATATAATATAATAAATATAATATAATATAATATAATATAATATATATAATATATATATAATATAAAATAAAATAATATAATATAATAAATATTATATATAATATAATATAATATATATATAATATATATAATATATAATATATATTATATATAATATATATAATATATATAATATATAATATATATAATATGTATAATATATATATTATATATTATATATATAATATATAATATAATATATATAATATATATAATATATAATATATTATATACTATATATTATATATTATATATTATATATTATATATAATATATAATATATAATGTATATATATTATATATATTATATATTATATATATTATATATAATATATAATATATAATATATAATATATAATATATAATATATAATATATATATTATATATATTATATATATTATATATATTATATATATTATATATATTATATATATTATATATATATATAATATATAATATATATAATATATATAATATATAATATAATATATATAATATATATAATATATATAATATATATAATATATATAATATATATAATATATATAATATATAATATATATAATATAATATATAATATATATATATATAATATATATAATATATAATATATATATAATATACTATATATATGATATAATTATGAATGTATGTTATAAAATATGTTTTAGCTGATCTGACTTCCTTCTGACCTGGGCTTGTGCCATATTTTTCACACTGGCCCCATTCACTGCTATGACGCAGGAGATTTCAGTGGAGTTTGGAGACAGCCATCTAAATTTGTGAACCCCCCATCATTTTATAGCACCTTCATTTTTGGTTGGTTGCGGTTAGGTATCGTGTTTTCATCCCAATTTGTGTGACAGTTGTACGCCTTAAAAGTTCTGGTATACCCTCTGGGAACTCTGAACCAACAATTCCAAAATTGGTTCGGGAAGGGGCTTCCAGTTATGTTTGTTAGTTTACAATTCCATCTAACTAGTTCGACATATCCACCATAAATCCATCCATTCCCTGGTTATGTTTACCATCTTACCTATCACCATAATTTCATCCTATGATCAATCATATATATATATACACATATATATATACGGTATATGATTCCCAAGGTTTCTTCATTAAATTAAGTTGAATCCTGATGTTTGCTGATGAAATCCATTTTTTCCTTGTTCAACTTCCAATTTTTCTTGGTTAAAACAACAGTTTTGTAATGGTAAAATCTATTGACGTCCCCATTTTTGTTGGTGGACATGGTCCAAATTTTGGGTTGCCAGGTTTGGGCCTTGCCTGGACTCCTGGAAGATCTCACGCCAGGTTGGAAAGGTTTTTTTTGGGCCCCAGGAGCTATGAATTGAGTTTCCCAACTACATGATACTGTGGAAGAAATCCTGTGGGATTATTTCATGGGGATGATTGGGAGTATTTAAAGTATGTTTTTGAAGAATCAACTTGATATGATCAAATTGGGGTTTGGTACCCAAGCTTTTTGGGGATTTGGCCCAATCTTATGGCCATCAAATAAAGGCAAACATTATTTTCTGAACCATCAAAATCTGGGATATCTATCCCGTTTTGAGACAACCCCCATGGTTAATGCCTGGTAAGCAAACCTGACAATGAAGAATCCCGTGTAGATCTTTGCAAATTGCGTTCTTTTTTTGTTCAGAGGTGAAATTGGACTGCAGGAAAGAATGGCAATGTAAGTCGCAAAAATGAACAGGTGAGACCAAACCCTTCTTGCGAAGCTGCGCTCACCATGGTTGAGTTTGCCACTTTATATTGGAATGATTGGAGCCTTATGTGGCCCCGCCAGGCATGGCCTTCAAGTTTGTTTGCTTGGGCCACAATGGCATTCCGCGGTGGGAAGAGAACCGGCCCAACAGGCATGGCCGGGGGTCGAGGAGGCAAAATGGTCGATCAATTCATGTAGTACCATCTGATAAACTAAAATAACTATGGAAAACCACAATTTTTAATAGGCACATCAACTATAAATGGGCCATGTTCAATAGCTATGTCAGTCATTACCAGAGGGTATCTTTGTGGAACAAGATCTTTCTGTAGCAAGGCGATGACATTTGGATGGGTTTAAGTTGAGTGGACAATTCGCAGGACATCGGATAGATTTCATGGTAGAAACCATGCATGGTAGAAACCATGGTTTCAACTGGAGAACTTCCCAACCCCCTGTGACAGACGCTTGCTTTCCCAGGTTTTGGACCTGCGAGGAGTGGGCTGGGTTGGTTTGACAGTTTTGAAAAACATGGAGCACACCTGAAAAATAACACATCAACATTTTTTTGTTTTTACTTGGGGTAATGATTTGCCATGTTTTCAGACACCTGCAAGTTCAAGGATCTTCGACAGCAATTTCTCCGCGGCCTTGTGCAGGAAGCCTCTTACCTCTTTGATCTCCCATCTCCACGCAAGGGCAAGGACCGGGAGTTGCGCCACAGTTAGCACTCTGGTACTTTTGTGTTTGCAGGACCATGTTGGTTTCAAAGACGGTTCTATCCCGGCCCTAGGTTACATCATTGTCGGGTGTTACCTCATGTCTTCACATTGGCAGAATATAAGTTGGTGAGATGGAGTCCACCAATATTTCGCAGGAAGATCACGATGAGCTAGAGGCACGGCTTTGAGGATGGAAGCAGTACCTGGTGAGTCTTTTCCTCTGAACCATGGTTGTTTCAAATACTGCAACCCCAGAGGAACATCCTCTCCTAAGAGGTGGTAGACTCCGTTGAGACTGTGATCCCAGCCAACAGGTGGTTTGGGGAGACAACTGGCTCATCGACATAGATCCCTTGGTCTTCCCAGGGGCAGAGCCTTGTCGTGGCTTGCGTGGACGGGGCAAATGGCTTCTGCGAAGCTCCAGCTTACATATTGAAATTATATATACATCTTGGTGGTTTACCCCAGTTAGACCCTGGTAAAAAGTGGGACAACACTGGAAAAATTGGGGTGAACTTACCCGCTTACTAAGTGGAGTGAACCACCAAGTAGGAATGCTTGAAGCCACCACTTTGATTGGTTAGTTCATCAACCTAATATAAGGCAATTTGTGGATAGTTACCCCAACCCTAACCATCATGTATAGTGTCGTTGCAGTGGCATGAACTGAACGTCTCCGCTATCAAAAAAAGGTCCAAATTGCTGTCTGAAAATAGAGGCTCCAAAATCGCATGGTTCAAAACGTGATTTTACCCATTGAAATTGCGCCATAACTTGGGGAACTATATACCCCAGTCTCACACCCAAACCATCCATTTTTGGGGAGGTGATAATTCATAGGCATCACCAAATGCTTTTAAGGAGAGGCATGGGCATGTAAAGGCCCTCAGTATGATGGGGCTGAAGGATTGGTATATGGATATGACCAGATGTGGAATTGACAGGATTGTCCATTGCCATCTCTGTTTATCAAAGTTTCAGACACACCCAGGTACCAGTAGTACCGCACAAGGCGGTGGCGAAAGTTTCAAAAATAGGAAACCTATAGGAGAGGTTGGTTGTTGTGAATCACAGATAGCAGAGCGAAGCCGCTGATGGACCGACAGGTGGTTGAGGTCTCCTCTCTTTCTCTCTCTTTCTTTCTCTTTCTCTGACTATCTACCTACCTACCTACCTATCTATCTATCTATCTATCTTTCTATCAAACTAACTAACAAACTAACAGACAAACTAACAAGCTAACAAGCTAACAAGCTAACAAGCTAACAAGCTAACAAACAAACAAACAAACAAACAAACCAACGAACGAACGAACGAACGAACGAACGAACAAACAAACAAACAAACAAGCTCACTAACTAACAAACTAACTATCTAACTATCAAACTAACTATCTAAATATCTAACTATCTAACTATCAAACTAACAAACTAACCAACCAACTAACTAACTAACTAACTAACTAACAAACTAACTAACTAACTAACAAACAAACTAACTAACTAACAAACTAACAAACTAACAAACTAACAAACTAACAACCTAACCAACAAACCAACCAACCAACTAACCAACTAACTAACCAACTAACTAACTAACTAAACTAAACTTGACTAAACTAAACTTAACTTAACTAAACGAACTAACGAACTAACAAACTAACTAACTAACTATCTAACTAACTAACAAACAAACAAACAAACAAACAAACAAACTAATCTATCCATCTATCGATCTATCGATCTATCTACCTAC